GAGCAATGCGCGGAGGACAGAGCTGCAAAGATTTTGAATTTCTAGTTCCATTCATGATTCCCACTCCCACTCGCAACCGTCGCTCTGCCTGTTAAGGGATGAAACACAGACTGCTTACTTGTATGCTCATCTGCAGCAGTGGCATAAACCCCGTCCTAAGGAATATAATTTTCTGGTCGTGATTTACTGCATCGGACTAGATTAAAAGGTGAGGTCGTAGGTTATGGCATTGAAAAGTAAAAAAGTTAGTTTCAGGTTCGTTAAGTCATATTCGCCAGCTATGGTTCCCTTTTTCGCTCTATTTAGATTTAGGCTCAACATAATGCAATTTTCATTTACATATGCAGAAGCATTCCCTTTGGTCCGGTTTTCGATGTCGGATAGAAACCTGGAAGAATTTCACATCTGTTCCAAACCACCCTCATGAAACGGGCTGGATGCACCGGAAGGTTGCAGGTCGCTGTCAAAGGATGAACTTATCGAGTATGAGAATGCAAAGGAATAGTAAACTTTTAGGAAATGCGCGATCTGAACAGATGGTTTCAAATACATCTTTGATACGTAAGCGAATAGTTGTGACTATTGGCAAGAAAAACACTAACATACCATACTGCTTCTTTCATCCGTCCTGCATACTCTGAGTAAGCAAGAGCCGTTTTTTTTTTCTTGCTGCACTCCAACAAACGTCACGAAATTGCTCACGTTTCTGTGCCTGCCACGGCCAGCCACAACGATTATGAGTTTGAGGGGAAAGCAATTTCAACGCAAACTTGGACAAGAAAAGGAAACCAAAGAAAGGCGATCAGACATCTCTGGCAAAACGGATTGACGCCGAGGACACAAGAACAAACGGAGGACAATGGGTGACACGTGGTTCGGGAAGACATATGGAGCGAATTGGAGTTGATTTATACGAAGCGCTAACTGTCCTGGATGATGTATAATACACTGCGGATGTTTCTATAACATCCCCTGGTTAGCGCAATATGCGATCACATCACTGTTGGCCAGGATTCTTCGTATAGCTGGAGGAAAGGC